CTCTTGCTTACCTGTGGGTCACTGGGCCAAACCCTGTACCTATCCAACACACAGCTGAGAAAACAAAACCGAAGACGCCCCTGAGCAGCCAAGCCCATGGCACAATGCTCTTATTTTAGACAAAATTCTAGCAAGAGCATCAGCCTCTTTTGCTCAGACCCAGAAGTTGAACAGAAATTAGAAAAAAGAGTGGCTGCTCTTAGCAGGAAGGCAAGGGAGAGAGAGGAATGATTAAAAGGATAACTGACCAAGCCCGTAAACCTGGGGCCAGGAGTGCAGGGCAGATGGCTCTAGCCACGTCAACAGTATTGCACCTGGAGCGTAGTTATTGCCTTCCAAGCCCCGAGAAAAGGTTGTAGTGTGCAGAGATGCCACTTCCTGTCACAGCCACTGCAGCTCCCTGAGCCTCAGGGTCTTCATCTGTGAGATGGAGACAATAGTCCAGGCCCCCGACAGATTGCCGGCAAGATTCAACAAGCTCCCGATGGCAAAAGCACTTGGTCAACAGTAGCCAAGGTGAGTTACCATGTCTGGTATGTTTTGCTGCAGAACACTGGGAAGAGTAGGCAATACATTTTTGGAAGTTTTCCAATAATATGGCAGAAATAATATTTAAGAAAAAAACAACTGCAGTATGTCAAGGGGTGAATTTCATTTTCTAGAAACTTCTCTCTTGCAGTGCCCTCAGGAAGCTGATTCATCGGGAGGCATGACTAACTGTGGCAGCCTCTTGGCCTCTTAACCAGAAGATCCACCCAGTTCACCTTCTGCTTGAAGGTTATCCGTGGTCTCAATCGACATGTCTAATGGGATTGAGGACAGACAGAGTAGGGCACTGGGTACAGACTCCAAAATCTACAAGTTGCTAGTTCAAAAAAAAACTCAAGCCTTGACCCCAGAGGTCACGCCTGCAACCCCATGACCAGCGCAATAGGCAGGTACAGGTAAAGTGCCAGGTGGGAATACTGGGGTGGGGGATGGGCCTCTGGGGTACAGGGTGGGCTTTGGAATCAGCTGGACTGGGGTTCTAAAAGTGCTCTGCCAATCGTTAACTTGGGGGGCCCTGAGATTCAATTGTTTTCTACAACTACATTGGCAGGGAGGAGAGTCCTGAAGATTAGAGGAGTTGACCTAGTGGGGGTCCATGGAGCCATCTTGGGCATCTTCCACTGGACCAAAAGGGATCAGAGAAAGCACAGGAGGGGTGTGTGTGTCGGGGTGGGGGGGGTGTGTGTGGTCAGGAAAGGCCTTCAAGAAAATGGTGACTTTTAAGATGGGCCTTGAAGGATCAGTAAATTTGGATTAACTTCAAGGAAGGGAGCAGGGTCAGGCAGGCACACGCAAAGACCCTGGAGGTGAAAAGGCTGAGGGCCCATTTGGGGGACAAGCTGGCTGGAGCCCAGGAAGAGAGCTGTGGAGTAGAGAGACCCATGTATGGGAAGGAGGTGAATCCACATTTAAGCTGGCAGGGCAGTGACCTTTGGCCACGTTTACTAAGAATCCACTTTGTATGTGTGCTGAAGACCTGGCATTAAAGGGTTCATCCTTTAAAGACATCCTCTTCAAAAAAGGCGGAGAGACAAAGGTAGCGGAGTCAGCCCTCTCTTTAAAGAGCAGGCAGGCACAGCAGTTGTCTGGCCAGCTTCTTTTCTTTCCCTTCCCTCCAGCCTCCCCCTAGGGCTGTGCATTCCATGGCCCCTGGGAGCAAAAGGCACACACTGCTGAAGACTAAACAGACCCTAGGCATAAGCAACGTTTCACTGTGTGCACACATGGGGACACATCCACGCACACAAACACACTCACGCACACAAATGGGGTAAGAAGCCAATCTGATTTTCCAAAAGATTGCATAATTCTTAGGTGATATTAAAATAGCTGATGAAGAATCCGCTTTAATCTTTTTTGGGTGGGCGTTGAAGGGCTGAAGAGTCTTGCTTAGATATTTCTGACAGAATCATTTACAAGAAATAAGCCTCCAGCACAGAGCTTTAAAACCTTCAGCTCCTAAAACCTCTAGCTCCTGCACCTTCTTGGGTCCTTAGATGCCTCCCTAGATGTGCAGGGTGGGTGAGGGGGTGACCCTACCAGGGGACCTGCCCAACCCAGGGCCTCACCAGCAGCTCCCACAGATCAGGTTCTTCTTTTCTGAGATGGGAAGAAACACCACCGCTGAAACAATCCCATCTTTCCCAGGCCCCCAGAGAACTTCCTGTCCGTGCCAATCACGTGGCACATAATCATGTCCAACCTGTGCTGCTCTTTCACCCTTGGCTCCGATTGTACTGAAAGGAATCTGATTGGTAGCTCCTTATGACTGTGCGACTCGTCTTCTCAGCCAATTGTGAACATCTTGCAGGAGGGTTAGAGGTGCACTCTATTACAGTCCTGTATCCATGCATCTGGGATAGACAAGGTAGCAAACATTTTGCCATTATGCTAGGTAGTGAATCTGAATTTTTTTCATCTGATGATATGGTTCTTGAATGTCTCCTAACATTATCTTCTAATAATACAGTCACTAGTTATTCCTCTGCAAATTCCAAGAGTCTAGAACAGGGCCTGGCAGACAAGTGTCCAGTTAGGACTCCTTCTGAAGCTATCTTAATTCCATCTTGGAAGAAAACCTTTGTCTATTAAGTTGGGATCTGAAGGGTAAGTGGCCATTAGGCAAAGAAAGAGGATGAGAAGTTGGGGAGCGTGGAGAAGAATCTTGTAGGCAGAGGGGACAGCAGGAGCAAGGGCCTGGAGTACGATGAGGGTGCGTACAGGTGTGACCCTGTGGCCAGGGACAGGCTTCAGGGCAGCCCTGGAGCAGCGGTGAATCTCGGACAGAATCAGAGGATGGGTTCCCTCCCATCGGAACAGGAGGGAGGAAGGAAAGCAAGGAGACGAAAGTAGGCAAGTTTGTAGGTCTGAGGGCAGAAAGCTGAGAAAGTTTCCATATGATGGCTTCTATCTTCTCTCTGAGGAGGGAAGTAAGGATATCTTCTGAGAAGGAGGAGGAACGAGGAGAGGTGAGAGATTTTGGGAGAGAGGACAAGGTTTGAAATAGCCACTGAGAAGAAAGGAGTCAAAACTGGGCTGGGGAAAGTGGGAGGATTTCTGTGTAGGATTGAGCGTCCAAAGGAGGTTGGAGACCCCATGTTTCCATGACATCAATGCCTGTGGCTGGTCAAGATTTCTTCAGGACTTTGGTGTAGGTGGACTGGTTGGGGTTTCCTCAGGTGGGAGTGATGGAAAGACAGCAAGACAAGGGCACAGCTTCTTGCAAGGGAATAGCTGAGGTAATGGAGCTTGAACTCAACCAGGTAGGGAAGAAGCAGGTTCATATGGAGAAAGCAGAAAGGCAATGGACGGGCCTCTGGAAGATGTTGAATGACAAGCATGGTAGAAGTGGCTGGAGTTGCGGAAGAAGTCAGGGTCAGGAGGGTCAAAGCAGGTGCAGATGTAGCTACAGCAAGATTTCGGATGTGGCCCGGGAGTGCTAGGCTGATAGGGAAATGAGGAGGTCAAGGAACGGGTGTCGAAAGGGCGGCCTCAAACAGATGCCCTAAAAGCAGCTGCTCAGATTCTAGGATTCTCAAGAATCAGTCATCTCAGCAGCTTCATCTGCCGATCAGGGACACTGAGAGGGTCAGGGCCTGAGCCAAGGTCACGAAAGGGGTTTGAGGCAGGCGGGCCTGCCACCCCCAGCCTCCTGGCCAGGGCTCTCCAACCCCTGGACGCCCTCTCCCCCAGGAGATGTGCAGCAAGGCAGGGAGGCTAGGTGAGGAAAAGAGGAGGCAGCAGAGGCCAGGCCTGAGTCCCCACCCCGTCGCCCCCCGGCCCCGCCCCCCGCCCCCCCCCCCGCCCCCCCCCCCCCCCCTCCCCCCGCCCCTCCCCCCCCCCCTCCCCCGCCCCCCCCCCCCGCCCCAACCCTACCCCGCCCCTCCCCCTCCCCCCAGGCCGGGCCGGTTCCGGCCAGACCGGAAGCACGTGGCCGCCCACCGGCGCGGTTGCCCGGGAGACCCAGGCTGTTTACCCGCGGGACAGTGCCCGGCGACGGCGGCGGATGGAGCGGCGCCGCTAGGTGAGCGCGGCCGGCCGCCGGCCCGCGGGTTTGTCCTCGGCCTCCTGGGGGCGTGGGAGGGGCCGGGAGAGGCCAGCCCCGAGTCCCCCGGGGCCTGTCGCCCGGGCGGGCCTCCCCAGACTCGGCCCCAGGGGCGAAGCCCGGGAGACAGGTCAGGGGCCAGGAGGGAAGCGGCTGCTCCCCAGGGGCAGAGCCAGCCCGGCCAGAGCTCACCGTTGCCGGAATGGGACAGCTCCCGGGCTTTTCGGAAGCCGAGGGCCCTAGGAAACCGCTGGGTTATGGCCTCCTGGCTGGGCAGTACAGACCGAACACAGACTCCGAGGGACAAGGGGATGTCCTGTCACACGGAGAGATCGGAACCAGATCTGAGCCTCCCCCCAGACCCCCGCTGTTTCACCCAGGTCAACTCGCACTTTCTAGAGGCTCTTTCTTGCCCCTCCCCCACATCCATCCTGCCGCCTAATCTTGCCTCCTTCTAGAACTAACAGTACTTGAAAAGAACTGAGCTCTTCTTCTCCACCTACCTCTAATCCCCCCTCCCCACTGCTGCTGGAATCATGCCCAGTTCCTTTTCCAGACCTTTGATCACTTGGTGGCTTGTGGTCCAATTTCTCAACTCCCCCTTTTAAACATGGCACTCTGCGTAGGACAGCGTATTCTAATCTTTAGTCCTGGGTAGAACTGGGAATGGTACCAAAGTTTTCTCATTCTCAGGCCAGCTACTATCTCCGGTTTGTTCTCCTGAGCGTTTTCATCCTCAAAGCCTCACAAGGAGGGGTGGGGATTGGTAGAGGATAGTATTAACTGACAAACATTTTTAAAAGACCAATTCAAATGTATGCATCCTTGGTATATACCAGCAGATCATATGTGGGTAGTTATATTTTATTGCATTTATTGTAGGCTTAGGTTTGGGTTGTGAGTGAAATAGGGTGGTCTGACTCCGTGGTGGGAGGTGGGAGCCTTTGGAAAGCCGGAAGATGGCGTTAGCTTCTCCTATCCAGTTCTTCTTTCCAGTTGATTTGGTGAGTAATCTTAAGGAATGGGCACCTGCCCTTTTGGCAGTTCCTTGGGAACCGTTATCAATGTTTGTTTCCTGACTCCTAGCAGGCCCCTGGGGTGCAGCTATTATGTTTAAGTAAACAGGCCACTTGCTTATTCAACAGGCAGCTTGATGGAAGCCTATGCCTAGATCTTGTCAAATCACTTTGTGGTTGAGAGTCTGCCAGGCCTAGAGGTGGTGAGATGAGCTGAGCAGGGTTGATGATGGATGCAGCAGAAGCCTCCCTGGAGTGAGGCGGGAAGGCAGAGTTTGAGACCCAAGGTGTGAATATAAAGACACCGTTGGCCCAGGTCCCCAAACACCTGTTTCCCCCACCTCCCCTCTCGATGTGGGAGAAGCTGGGGAGAGTTGATGTTCCCTCCATGTAACAGATGGTTCCTGCTCTCGGCAGGAGGCAGCGGGTTATGAAAGCAGGTTTGATGGAACGGTTTTACCTGAAGGAGGTGTTAATCTCTAAATAACCATGAGTGGGCTTATAGGGATTAGTCATAATTGAGGTTTTTCTCCGAGATAGCTCACAGTCATGTTATCTTATGACCAGGGTGTCTTGGATATGACACCCCCTGAACATGGATAATTATATAGTACCAAAAGGTATAGAAAGTGCATGCACACACTCAAGTTTTACTGTTAAAAATAATCCAGCAGGGAGCCTGTGAGAACACATGACTTTCCTCATCAAAGTTGTTAAGGAAGAGGTTTCTAAGTTACCAAACTTACTGACAGTTAAGCCTTCCCGAGGCGTGTGTGGGAATTAGAAGCCAAGTCTGTGATAACTGGGTAGAAGCTGTGGCAAATTAACAGCCCTTCTTCGACGGGGAAGGGTGGGCAGAGAGGGGGAGCTGGTCTCCCAGTTAAGCTTCTCTTTGGCAGAACAGTTGGGCAGTTATGACCTCCCCATGCCACCCTGAGTTAAGTGCAGAGCTGCTTAATTACAAGTGAAAGACTTTGACTAAAATTAAAGGGAACCCCCCCACACATTCTTCACAGTTGATCAGAAAATAGATTAAATTAACAAGGAGCTGGGCAGGCTTGTTTGATGCCAAGGAGAAGGCTCCCGAACTCCCAGCAGCCAGATTGAGTGTGAAAGACTAGAAGTGGGAAAATGGGAGTGAGGAAAGACATGGCCTGTGAGCAGAATGCAGCAAACACAGAGGCCTTGCAGTCAAGAAAGACAGGGCAGACTTCTTTTTCTTCTTTTTTTAACATCTTTATTGGAGTATAATTGCTTTACAATGGTGTGTTAGTTTCTGCTTTATAACAAAGTGAATCAGCTATATGTATACATATATCCCCATATCCCCTCCCTCTTGCATCTCCCTCCCACCCTCCCTATCCCACCCGTCTAGGTGGTCACAAAGCACCGAGCTGATCTCCCTGTGCTATGCGGCTGCTTCCCACTAGCTAGCTGTTTTACATTTGGCAGTGTATATATGTCCATGCCACTCTCTCACTTCGTCCCAGCTTACCCTTCCCCCTCCCCGTGTCCTCAAGTCCATTCTCTACATCTGCGTCTTACTCCTGTCCTGCCCCTAGTTTCTTCAGAACCATTTTTTTTTTTAAGATTCCATATATGTGTTAGCATATGGTATTTGTTTTTCTCTTTCTGACAGGGCAGACTTTGAACTGAGTAGGCCTTCAGGAATACACAGGGATACTGTGTTTTGTTTGGTTGTGGTTTTAGTGGTGAGGAAGGGGATACGCCCTAAAATTAGACAATGATGGTAATATGCACAGAATGGGAATATTAGGGTGCGGAGCTAAGGGGCTTGAATTGCATTGCTCAGCATTGTGTGATGAAGGTAGCTTGGAGTAAGTGAATGGGAGGTAAGTATACGATTAAAGTGTGGGATTAGGGGGACCCTGGCGGTCCAGTGGTTAGGACTCCACGGTTTCACTGCCGAGGGCCCAGGTTTGATCCCTGGTCGGGGAACTAAGATCCCACAAGCCATGTGGCGTGGCCAATACATAACTAACTAACTAAATAAATAAATAAAAGTATGGGATCAGAAGGGACATATTAGAATGCATTTTTGGAGGCAGTAGCTCATTGGAGTCAACCTTCCGGCATTTCTGTGCAGTGGGCGGGGCAGGCACGGGTCCCCTGAGTCACCCAGCCGATTAGAGGTGACTGGGAGTAGACCCGCCACGGACACCCTGGGGAAAAGCTCTGAAGCAACAGGTAAGACTTTTGGACCTAAAACAATCGAAAGCACTAAATAAACAGAAAACAAAAACCAAAAGCAGAAAAATGAAGCCTTTACTGTGTGCCAAGCCTGGTTTCACGGCCTTACCTGTGATGTTTCGTGTTACTGTCCTCATGTTGCAGATAGAGACTGATGTTTAGAGGCAGTTAAACAATGTTTTCAAGGTCATACAGCTAATTCTATAGATGAGGAAAGCAATGTATGAGAAAGGTAGAATGATTGTCCCATGGTCATCCAGCTAGCTCTTGGCAGGGCCTGAAATAGAACCTAGGTCTCACGACACCTCCCAAACGTCCTGCTTCCTGGGGAGGCTCTGGGAAGCTACCAGAAGGTCTTTCGAGGGCTGGGAGAGGGCTGGTCAGGCTGCAGGTGGAGAGAGCCGCAGTCGCAGTGGTGGTCAGGATTCAGAGGAGGCAGGGAGCCCAACACGTTGCAGCGTCCTGGGAAGGATGTAACCAGGGACTGGGAAGAAAAGGTGATCAGAAGCGTGTTAGCGAAGGTGCTGTGAAGATGGCGAGGACAGGGGAGGGGGCCTGACTTGGCAGTTCCAGGCCCGCAAGAGAAACACGCCTCCCACCATGCTTCAGGAAGTGCACTCGTGCACACCCCCAAATACAGGGTGTGGGAGGTCCAAACACAGAGGCCCTCAAAGTGTTGACAAGGTGGTTGGGAAGAAGAAATGTCAGCAGCTAACGAAGAGACTGAATGTGACCAGTGCTGGGGGAGAGGCCAAGTCTGGTCCTGGAGAACAGGACTGGGTGTCACAGACCTGGGTTGGGCTCATGAGCTAACAATACCTTTTACACTTTTAATGGTTGGAAAAAATAAAAAGAAGAAGATTTTGTGCTGCATGAAAATGATATGAAATTCAAATGCCAGTGTCCATAAAGGCAGTTCTCTTGGGACAAAGCCACACCTGTTCATTTACACACTGTCTATGGCGGGCGGCGTTCACACCACAAGGGCAGAGATGAGTAGTTGTGACAGACTGTGGCCCACGAAGCCGAAAATATTTACTCTCTGGCCATTTACGGAAAGGGATTGCCAACCCTGGTCTAGAAGCCGAGTGCCCCCCTGTGAGATCTGGCCAGTGGGTGGACCAGCAGTGGGGTCTCCTTCTCCTCTCCCCCAGCCTGATGACAAAGTGAGGGCAGCCGAGGGATGTTGCATGAAGTGACTTGCACAGAGCCGCCTAGCAAGGTTGAATGAAGAGCCAGTAGAAAGGAAAATGGAGTATATGGAGGGGGAACGGGGAAAATGGGGAGGCAGAGGGTGGTGATTCCCCAGTGAATACGGGGCGGGAGCCCCCCGCCACCTGTGGCAGGAAGCTCAAGCTCTCAGCTCTTTTTTTTTTATCATCTTTATTGGAGTATAATTGCTTTACAATGGTGTGTTAGTTTTGGCTGTGTAACAAAGTGAATCAGCTATACGTATACATATATCCCCATATCCCCTCCCTCTTGTGTCTCCCTCCCACCCTCCCTATCCCACCCCTCTAGGTGGACACAAAGCACCGAGCTGATCTCCCTGTGCTATGCGGTTGCTTCCCACTAGCTAGCTATTTTACATTTGGTAGTGTATATATGTCCATGCCACTCTCTCACTTCGTCCCAGCTTACCCTTCCCCCTCCCGGTGTCCTCAAGTCCATTCTCTAGTAGGTCTGTGTTTTTATTCCCGTCCTGCCCCTAGGTTCTTCATAACCTTTTTTTCTTTTTTTCAGATTCCATATGTGGCACATATATACAATGGAATATTAGCCATAAAAAGAAGTGAAACTGAGTTATTTGTAGTGAGGTGGATGGACCTAGAGTCTGTCATACAGGGTGAAGTAAGTCAGAAAGAGAAAAACAAATACCGTCTGCTAACACATATATATAGCTCTCAGCTCTTGAGTGAAGCTGAGCTTGGATTCCCTGCTGGGTAACTGAACAGGGATACTTTCTCTCTTCTGAGCAAAGGCAGCCACGGGTAACGCTCTCTTCTGGGCCTCCAGGTCTGTGGACAGTGTAGGGTGGAGCGCCCCACCCTGGGAGCCAGCAGATTCCGCCCTCAGGACTGGACCCTGGCTCTTCCCTCAGCTGGGACACTTTCCCCCTAGAGCAAGGGTGGGCAAACCACAGCCTGTGGGCCAAATGGGGCCCACCCCTGTCCTTGTAAATAAAGTTGCCTGGGAACACAGCCGCAGTCCCTTGCTTACATATTGTCTATGGCTGTTCTTGTGCTACAGGGGCAGGGGTGAGTGGTTGGATCAGAGACCACGTGGCTCCCAAAGCCAAAACCATTTAGAGAAAAAGTTAGCTGAGCCCTGCTCTCTATTGTAACAGCGCTTATTCCTTCTCATCAATCTGGTCTCTCAGGTTAAAGCCCTCCCAACCCCCTGTAAGAATAAGAATTAGTCACTCGCTGGTGTAATACTTTATTTTCCCCATAGCAGTTAGTAGTCGTTGAAAATATCTATTTACTTGTGGATTTAACACCAGCCTCTTCTCACTATAATAATTTAAGTTGCAAGGACTTTGGTTCACTGATATATTCCAATGCCTGGAATGAAGGAATGAATGAACTGCAGCTGGTGCCCTTCTCCAGATGCCAGAAATCCAGAGAGAAGCTCCTCTGCACACCCCCTCCCGCCCCCATTGTGGCCGGTCCTTATTCTGGATCCTGGGAAGTGAATGGCTCAGGTCCGGAAGTCCTAGAACATTTAACCCACAGCCTCCTCTCTTTTGCTTCCTTAGGGGTCTTGAGGAGCAATGGCCACAGAAGCCCCTGTGAACATCGCCCCCCCTGAATGCAGCACTGTTGTCGGCACAGCAGCTGACAGCTTCATTTGGCGGCCAGACTCACTAAACATGCGCGTCACGAGGCCCAAGTCCGCCAAGGGACGTCCTCGGCCAAGTCTGCGTAAGCCCGCAGGCATGGAGGGATGCTGCAGCCTCACGCCATCTTCACCTCCAGCCATTCCCTGCGAGTCGCCGAGCAGCCAGAAACCGGGAGCCTGCACACCCAAATCTCCGAATCAGGGAGCCCCCGATGAGATCCCGGAGCTGCTGCAGCAGGGGCCCATAGGGGCATCCTCTTCCCTCAATAAATACCCAGTCCTTCCTTCCATCAACAGGAAGACCCTGGAGGAGGGGGCCCTGGAAACAGTTGCTAAAAAGGCTGGTTCCCTGCAGCTGAGCAGCACCCAGGCTCTTTACCAAGCGGAGACCCGCACCGTGAAGATGAGTGAAGAAGATTCCCGAGCTCAGCCTCGTTCCCCGGAGAGGAAATTCATCGAGCGGACCAAGAGACAAAGCTCCTACAGGGCCAGAGACCTGGAGGAACCGTCGGATCAAGAGCCTAGGCTGCTGCTTGCCGTCAGATCACCATCCGGACGGAGGTTTGTCCACCATTTCCGGCCAACTGATGACTTATACACCGTTGTCGCCGTGGCCGAACACAAGAACAAGGCCACCTACCGACACCGCAGCATTGAAACGATGGAGGTGCCCAGGAGACATTTCTCTGACCTCACCAAGTCTCTGCAGGAGTGCGGAATCCTCCACAAGTCGGTGCTGGGCATCTCACAGGAAGATGGGGAGGGATGGCCCTGAGTCCGCAGCCACCCAGCTGGGGTCCTGGGTCTCTGAGCAAGGAGCATGCTTGGGCGCCACGGCCTCCCAGGCAGCTTGGTTCCAAGTGCCATGTGAATCTGGCGCGGCTGTGACTCTTGGGACACTCACCCTCAGAGCATTTTCTTTGACGCAGTGAAATCTACGCAGGCACCAAATGCGTTAAGAGGATTCTCTTCCAGTTGTTAAGTTCTCTCCACCACGGGAGTGAACTGGCAAGTGACCAAGGCTATTCCTGGAACAGCTGTGAGCAGACCTTCTCCTCTCCTCCTTGGGTCCTTTCTGAAGCACCTGCTTACCTTTACAATGAACTTGCGCTCCCTTGAAGCCAATGGTTTGCCTTTCTGTATTCGATGCGGGATTAAACACTTCCCAGAGAGGATTCTGGTCTGGTAAATAACCAGGGTTCAGGAAATACTGCACTGGCATTTGTGTTTCTTGCAAGCATCTTTAAGAAGCGGGCGCTTGACCCTATTTTGGGAGCAGCCCCTTTGCCAAGCTCGGTGGCTCGAGTTTCTCGGGGATTACCGTTTGTGTGAAGTGGTTTCAGAGGAAAGAATAGGTCTTCAGCTAATACAAATCCCCCAATACACCAACATTTCGGAAAGAGCCCCAGAACTGGAAAGTGAATCCCTCCCATAAGCAGGGATTTGCCAGGAGCTACTTTATTTTTAATAGAGACTGACGAGGTTTACAATTTTTGGTAGCTACTCTCTGCACAAAATTTTCCCCAAACAGAAAAGCCAGTGTAATCTTACATCCTTTGCTTTTGTCAGTGATGGCATCTTTTGTTTTTAAATGGCACAAACCTACACGTCTGCACAAGCTTGTAGGAAAGGCCCCTTTGGCTTATCTGGGTGTGGATACATTGTTTTATCCCCCAGTTTCAGGGTCTCCCCTACTCCAAACACGGACGCCCCCTTGAGATGACAGGGGTGCCCCCGTGTTCTGATTTCGAATCACCCGGAGGAAGAGGGCGCCTCGGTTTGGTGTCGCTTTGCTGTGCCTACGCTGAGACCATGTGCCCAAATAAATGTCTGGTCGATCAGCATGACACCCGTAGCTGTGTGGCAGACCCCGGAGTCTTGCTTTTCCATCTCTGAAATGGTGACATGGAAATTCTCCAACGTTCCCTCGTGTTGTAAGCTCAGCAAGGCTCCCACATCTCACCTGGATCCCCTTTATGGCCAAATCACCGTTCAGAGTGGAGAACACCTGTCCTCCCAGAGCCCAGCCATCACAAAGCCCTGAGTACTGATACGCACCCCTACTTGCTAGGTACACAGAGAAGGCAGGACTTCTAGAAGCATAGCAACGAGTGCATCTCGTGCATAGGTGAGGCCTGTGGTTGGAAATGTTACTCCCAGCAAATTGATACTTGGCCCTGGAGATGAACACCAACATCCTTTCCTCTGAAGAAGGCTCGACTTGTCCTAACTGCATCCCACGCCACCCAGATCGTTCCAGAATAGGTTATTTTGGAATGTTTTGCAAAATTTCTTAATGCCATTTGGTCAGCCGCTCCTCTGACTGCAAAGGTCAGCTGGGGCTGGTGGCGCCTTGGGCAGGCCCAGGCCACTGGCCGCATCCCCCGGCTGCTGACCACGCAGAAGGGCCTGGTGACTCGAGCCCGGTACGCACAGTCCAGGGATTTCGCCTCCTACCCAGGACTCGAGCACGGAACTCTGCCTCTGATCTAGGAGGCTGGGGGAAGAGACTCCCACATTTTATTCTTACCACCTACTCTGTGGTAAGAATAAAATCCCACCCACCTGGGACTTGGTAATTTCTCCAGGCAGGAAATCTTTAGAAAATTGCAGTGAAATGGAGCATGCTTGGAGGAGTTAGAATGTTCTGCACTTAGGGGTTTGCTACTGCTGTTTAGCTTAGAATTTTGGGGGTAGTGGGAACAAAATGGAAGGCATAAAGCATAGGAATATTTTAGGATATTTGGGGATATGTGAACAAAGCTAGATTTGAAACACATCTTTTGTTTCAAATAAACTTTTTCTGCGGGGACAAAAGATGACAATACTAATAATAAAAACCGATTTGCGTGAAACTGAGTCAGTGGAGAAGTGCATCTTCCTATTTCAGCCCAAGGCTTCGGCCACCCACGCTAATGGACAGAGGGCGTTGTGAACCCCATCTTCAGTTCTCTCCTTGGCAAAGCACTTGGCCCTGCTGTTTGATCCAAGTCCTCTTCCCCAGACACTCTAGATGCCCACCCTTCCGAAAGCTCCTACTTTCAGCTCATATCAGAGCACTAAGCTGGCCTGTAGGGGAAGAAACGCCTGAATTTCTTCCCCAAATCATTCCACGTACTCTTCTTTTGAGGTTGGCAAGAACACACTGTATCAGAACTTCAGCGTTCTTGGCTCTGTAGGTGGTAGTGCCAATCAGGTACCCTGGCCTAATGAGCTAAGCTGAGCCCAGGGCCTAACTCTTGGTGGCCCTGGTAGGTCTGAAGTTGGCCCACTTTGCGGTCACAGACCTGAGTCATTCATTTAACCCACAGTCATTGAGGGTCTGCCCTGTGCCACACCGGCTCACAGGCATAGGCGCCCTAGCAAGGGAGCATCGGCAAGACAATGTGGAACCACCTTGGACTGTCAACTCCAACCAGCTGAGGGCAGCAGCTGTAGCTTTATCTGGGAGGGCCCTAGAGTGAGGGCCAGACTGGATGGCTGCCGGGTCTTCTCCCCACCTTGCGGGAATACAGAAGACACTCCTCCCCACCTCTACTAGTGATGGCACCAGGAAGATCACTCATTAGGGACATGGACTTTGCATAGGACAAAGCTTCATGATGAGAGATTCCACTCCATCCCCTGATAAAATCCAGTAGGTAAATTCATCCTGGCAGCAGAAGGAACAGCACAAGAAAGAAGTGACTCATCACGTAGAATCCAAAAAATTTTCACCAACAGATGGCAGGTGCTTCTAACACAACAACAGCCCTTGCCCTGAAAGTACCCGGGGACCCAGCCCACAGCCATGAATCCAGGGCAGTCCTGCTGAAGAAGCGAGGTGAACGGGACCATGAGCCAGCGGTCACCCCTGAGCTCCCCACAGAAAATCCTTCACAAACAAAAAAAAAGCAAGACAAGCCTTGAGGCTTCCATTCCAATGAGAAACTTTCAAGACTAGTGACAGATCAGTCTCACTATCAGGCATGACAAAAGTAAGGCATTCCACGCACTAGACTTTGCTTTTGTTCATGCTCTTATCACCATTTGAAAGGGGTGTCTACTGTCAAATAAAGCCACCCTGCCCCAAGAGGCAAAAAGGTTTCTCTTTACACGATTTTTAGTTGTCTTCATAATATGTTGAGGTAGAGGGGTATTCAGTTTCCCGTGGTTTGGGGTATATTTTAGACGAGCCTTTTACACGGTCAGTGGATCTACTTTTATCCCTTTTAAACAGAATTGCAAAGAAAACTAGATCATTTTACTTCATTCGTGTGGAAATCATTCTGAGAATTAAGCAGGAATATCCGTTTTCTTAGTCCACCGAGGCAACACACCACCATAAAGTTAAAACTTTGAGCACGTTTACCCTCGCCCTGAAATCAGAACCAACCAAACCCCACCATAGAAGCAGAGAGGGTCGGGGGCCACTGCAGAGGAGTTGGCCATCCAAGTGGAGCAGACTTTTGGTGACTCACCAACAAACAAGACCGTCACTCAATTATAAAAAATAAAATTGGGTGTTTTATTTTGCGTCTGCACCGGTGATGTGACATTTTCCTTCCCTGGTGAGGACAGTTTCTACCAGCCCTTGCTGACGTCCCTCTGTGTGCCTCTACCTTCAAAGAGCTGAGGAAACAGCAGGAATCCTGAACAGCTGGTGCACAAGCACACACCTCCGAAAGTATTTTTGGACCCATTTAAATCCCATCCCACGAAGCTGAACAACTGATGGGACAACTGCCGATGGGTACAATGAAGTGAGCCTCGTTCCCAGTCATGCTCAGAGGAGCGCTTTGGCTGCTGTGTTGAGAACAGACTGTAGGGGTCAGGGTGGAAGATGGGAGACCAACTACTGGACGTTGACAGTAACCAGAGGAGAGATGGTGGTGGCTTGGGCCAGGGGCGTAGCCATAAATGTTATGAGAGACGGTCAGATGCTGGATACACAGTCCATTTTCTTAAGGAAAAAGAAAAGGAAAGATAGTTTGACAAATTGGAATTTACCCAAGTGGACTTAGCTTGACCACCTCACCAATGTGGACTGTTTCTGCAAAAACAAAAACAAACCTGACAGCCACAAGACCAATACATGGTAGGCAGGGGAAAAACCCTGACCAGAAGCAATGTGCAGAGGAAGGAAATGCATGAAAGTTTTTGGACAAAGTGTGTAGAGAATTTCAAAGCTGTCAATTGCTTTAATCAAGAGATGCAACTAAAAAGTTTGCTATTTCACTTAATGTATAGGTTAAGTCAATTACCATCTAACTCTAGGGGTATAATTACCGCCAAGGTTACTTTATGAGAAATCCTTGTTCCAGTAAAATAATACATTGTTTACCTCTTCTTCTCTCCCTCCCTCTCCTGCCTCCATTCCATTCAGCCAAACCCAGCGGCTGATTTGGGGTGCATTTCCTCTCATGAGGGCAAATAAAACCACTGTCCTTTGGTGTAATTAACAAAGCTCCTAGTTTCATAACTTCCACGCCCACCTGTTCTTCTGTTCTTTACACTGAGGAGAGCTGTGCTGTAGGGCCTTGGACCTGCTGAGAGCTGCACCTCTCTGGCATCTGCCCTCTAGCAGAGAGGTGGGGATCGTGGGTCTACTGTGGTTGGTGAGTACCACCGACAGACATCCTGGGTCTGCTTTAGCCCCAGCCCACTGTTAATAAGAGTGGCCAGCCACCTGCCGACAGACCGTGGGAGAATGGTGGCAACTTTCATCCTCCCTACTGGGAAGCACAGTCTGGAAATCACCTGCTGTCTCCATGCCAGCCCTGCATACAGCCCCTGGATGTACTGCAGGGTCAACCCAGATCATACTTGAATGGGCCATGTCCCAAAGACTCTGGATCCAGACCCAATAGAGCTTTGTTAGTTTCCCCAACCCAGGCCTGGACCTCAGCTCACATTTCTCCTTCTTAATGGAGCTCCTAGCAGGAGCTCACCTTATTCAAATTAGCTGTAACAAATTAATTCAAAATGTATCTATAGGCACCTATAGGCCAGGCACTTATTAGGTCTATCAGTGAACAGAGCAGGCACAAATTCCCTGCCCTTATGGAGGTTACATTCAAATGCCTGGAGACAGAAAAGGAACAATATACATAATAAATAATATAGTATGATAGAAAAGGATACAGGTGATGGAAAATGGAAAAGCAGAGGGTGAGGGGGATCTGGAGAGCATGGGGGTTGCAGAGGATGAGATCTTACACGGGGGGGGGGGGGGGGGCAAGGCAGACCTCACAAAAAAAACAACAACCGGGGGAAAAAACTTAAAAAGGGGCCCCGGCGATGCTCGGGGGGGGGGGGGGGGGGCTCCGGGGGCGGGGAGCCTGCTCCTGGCGGAGGGGACGCACAGGTCCTAAGGCGGGAGCACATCTAGCCTGTTGGAGGGAAGGGCAGTCAGTGTGGCTGGTGGGAGGAAGGGGCTGAGCTGTTGGAGATGGGGGCGGAGAGACAGATCATTTGGGACCTTTTAGGGGCTGCAGCTCTGGGTAGAACGGGAGCCACTGCAGGGTGCTGGGCGGAGGAGTCTACGGACATATGTGTTCACATGAGCACTCTGGCTGCTGTGCTGAGCACAGACAAGCGCAGAAGATGGAAGAACAAGTAGAAGCTATTACTTCTACAATCCAAGTGAGCAATGAAGACTGGCGAGGTAGCCACAGACGTCCTGAGAAGCAGTCAGCTTCTGGATATCGAATCCATTTACTTTTTCAAGAAGTATTAATTTTACTGTAAAAACAGTAGTGAAGTAAACGCTAACCCATAGTATGCACCGTCATCATAAATGACTTTTCCAGACAGAAGAGGTTTACTCTGCAGGATCCATTACACCCTGCCCCCAAAACAAAACACAGGCTTTTTTTTCTTTTAATAATGGGAAACATGAAGAATACAGGGAAGATTGAAGAGGAAACTAAAAATCGTCCATGATCCTTGCAGTCAGAGACAACCGTTGTTAACATCTTGATGTATATTATCTCATTCTTAAAGATTACGTTAGTTTGCACATTACCTTCTTGTCAGTAGGCACACATGCATATTTTTAGCATTTGTAATCCTAGCAAAAACAGCAGTTTTATATTCTTTTTCCAAATTTCTATAGTCTTCATAATTATTCTAAGACTGAGTAATACTTCAACATGTTGATGTACTGTAATTTATTAAGCTATTTCCCTTTTGGGGAACATTTACATATTTCCAGGTTTTGTTTTTGTTTTTCTACAGAAGTCAATGCTAAAATCTTCATTTATGTAACTTTTTGCATCTTTTGAATTATTTCTTTAGGACAGATTCGCAGGACTAGGAATAGGTAGGTCCAATTTTATATATATATATATATATATATAAACTTTATGGATTCTGCTTTGCTTTTTGAAGGATTATATAACAAGCACCTAACAGTTTCATGCAGCATCTTCAGTTTTGAGGTTACTTCTTGTTATAATTTTCTTTACTTTTGTTGAAAAAAGAAACTAAATGCTTTCTAAAAATATTTTTCATGTCTTTGATTACTATTAAATATTAACACTTTTTGCATGTCTTTCAAAATATTTTTAATATTAAGATTAAAAACTCAAGGTTCGCTTTAATTTTTTTTTTAATTTTTATTTTTTGGCTGCATTGGGTCTTCATTTCTGCGTGGGCTTTCTCCAGGTGTGGCGAGCAGGGGCTACCTTCATTGCCATGCACGGGCTTCTCATTGAGGTGGCTTATCTTGTCGCAGAGCATGGGGTCTAGGCACGTGGGCTCAGTAGTTGCGGTGCACGGGCTCAGTAGTTGTGGCACGCAGGCTCCATAGTTGTGGCTCGTGGGCTCTAAAGC